GGGGGGGGGGGGGTCACCATTTTATGTTCGATCTACTGTTAAGTTTCATATGCTGCTCTAAAAGGTTTCACCTGTATCCCGCGAACGGTAACCCGGGGCCTTTGTCTCAAACTTTACTTTGGAAAAATACATTCTGCTAAAATTCTTCCTTTTTTGCATTAAATTTAGTACTTCTTGCAAAGCGATATCTCGGAAAAGTAATCTGAAAAACGACCTTTACTTTTACAGGAAATGATTATAGGACTTTTTCGGCTGCCAAGTATTTAACTCGGGAGGCTCCCCCTCCCTTTGTTCGATGCTCGCAGGCTGATAAAACCTAACTGACTATTTATAGCCTTTACTTTTTGCTTTTACATGAAGATCATAAATAACATCCAAGGCCTGCCGAGGTGTAAGAGTCTCTGGATTAAGCAGTAACAACGCTTTTGTTAGTCCAGTTTCAACTTCTGTATCACGCTGACAAATTCCCTCAGGTTGCACTCCTTCTGCTGTGTTTTCATTGTCTCTTGTGTTTCTTGTGATATTTTTCCTTGCTTGAGTTTCTTGCGAAAGTTCATTTTCTTCCAAAGCATCCCCTAAAATATTGTCATTTTGCTCTAAGTTTCGGAGAATTTCCCTGGCTCGAGTTTCAATTTGTGAAGGAACGCCTGCTAGTTTCGCCACGTCAATTCCGAAGGATTTCTGATCACATCCGTGCTAAAGGGTAAAGAAATGCAAGGTTAGTGTGACTCGCCCCAGTTATTTGACGACCTCACCCTCCCCTCCCACTTAAAACACGAAATTTAAAGATGCAAACGTCGTTATGCGACGACTCACGAGAAAACTAAATAACCAGGCTGACAATTGTCCTTTCCAGCACTCCTAAAGAAATTCCGCAAGAGCATAAAAGTCATCATATAACTTTCTCTGGTCAAATTTCAGTGTGCTACTTTGATTACTTACAAGAACGTGTACACTAAGGTTTCTAGTTTCTGGATTGATAATTGAGGTAAAAATAGATTTCATATCACAGAAAGTAAGTCGACGTTTTGACTACCTCGCGTCGTCTTTTTCAAGTGGCGTTTCTGTTAAGTCACGCGAGCAGGAAACTGAGAATCGCAGGACAACTGAGATACTTACAAGGACTTTGAAGGTAAAGCTGATTCCTTCCTCAGAGTTCTTGGCTGTCACGTGGTAACAGTCTACGCGGGGAAGACTATCGGCCAGTTTAGCAAGTTGATAGTAATGAGTAGAAGCTAATGTCCTGCAGTTTATTTTGCTGTGAAGATATTCTATCACTGCCCAGGCTATGGACAGTCCGTCGAGCATTGAGGTTCCGCGGCCTGTAGGAAAGGAATTTTACACACCATGTTATATAGCCCGCAAGCAAGCTCCACATTTGGAGGATAATCGTGAAAAGTCACGCGCGACGCAACGCTATATCTAAAATAATCTCTTCTGGTATTGGATCTATTAAACGAATAAGTCGCTGTGTTCCTCCTGCAACTCTACATAATATCTATCATGGGTTAGTTCAATCACACTTCGACTATTGTAGTGTTGTTTGGGGTAACTGTGCCAAAACATTATCTGACAAATTACAGAGACTTTAAAATCGTGCTGTCCGCGTCCTTACCCATTCTAGTTATGATGCTGACGCCAACCAACTACTTAAAGAATTAGGCTGGGACAATTTAGAAACTCGACGTCAAAAACTAAAGGCTGAGATGGTCTACAAGTCCTTAAACGGCCTCGCACCGAATTATTTGTCCTCGAAATTCATTCAACGGAGTGATGTGATTACTTCTTACAATTTGCGCGATTCTGATAATAAGCTTGCAATACCATTGCCGCGTACTAACCATTACAAAAATAGCTTTGCCTATAGTGGTGCAGTCCTCTGGAACAGTCTACCCTCAGCTGCTAGGCAAGCAACATCTCTGACTAATTTCCGACGATTCTTAATTAATTCCGACACGGCATTCATGTAAAACAGGCTTTAATTTAGTTTACTTTTCCTTAATAGTTAGCAATATTTTAAATTATAGAATATTAATCTGTATACATAGTTTCGTATTTAAGTTGTAGCGTTATATTAAATTGTTAATGCCTGATGTATTTACCGTGTTTTTAAATAAAGATGATGATGATGAT